CCCGAGGCAAGCGGGTAATTCCGCAGGCTCTGTGGTGCGTGGCTCGGGCTGCAGCCCGCCTGGGATGGAGCTACTGCTCCTGCCGTACTTAAATAAAAAGTCGGGGATTGTTATTTGTTTATTTATTTCTGGGATGTCCTTTACAAATACAATCTGTGTGATATATGTAAGGCTGCTAAGCCAAGCATGCACTTTTTTTTTTTCTGTAAAGTTGTGTTCTCTTTCCAGATGGAAGAACAAATTGAATTACGTTTTGGGGATTTTTTTTTGCATTTATCAAATATTTGTGCTCCTCACATTCTCCCTTTGCCAAGGCTATAATGTGTCCACTGGGCTACAAAGATCATACAAAAGCCTGTAGAGCCATTATCAATCTCAGAGATTTAAGTATTTTCTTTGGTTAAATTAATTTAACTTTTTGGGTTTTTTCTTTCCTGAAACTTATTCGTGAAGAAAAATGCAGATAACTTAGTGTAAATATTTAAGTATTTTAATACTCACTTTAGAGGGGAACACTATAGGATGGTTGCATAGGAAAAACAAGTGAGCTGAAATTACTGTGGTAATAGGGTCTATAGCATAAACTATGGTTAATTCTCTTGCCTGACTACAGGTGGCAGTGTAGAAGCCAAGAACAAAAATTGGCAGAAATTTTCTGTGCATGAGAAAATGAAGAGAGTGTACTCATGACTAAGCACAGGAACCTGAAAAACCACAGGTATGTGATGTGATTCATATAGCTGCCTATGGTGCTCCCAGTATTTACTGTATTCTTGCATTCCTGGCTCCCTAGGTATTTCTGGGCCAATTATCACTTAATGTATTCACACTGAGATCCTAATCAAAATGTCATGGAAAGTCTATATTTGATAACTAAAATCAAAACTCTGAAAGCAATATGAAATGGTCCCTGCTGTTCACCTTACATGCACATGCTTTTCAAGGTTTCTTTTAATTATAAAGAATTGAGGCACTGCAATGTAAAACAATTAGATTTTCTTTTAATAACTAAAAACTTTGTATTGATCAAACTAGCAGTATGTCCTATATTTGAATATAGCTAAAATGGAGAAAGTTGAGATACAGTAGAAAGTTCCTGTCTGGATGTTTTTGATGTCTTTTTCAGTACTTATTTTGAGTTCTGAAGAATCAGTGTGAAGAGAATCATGTAGGTGAAGTTAAGATGCCATTTCAAGTAACTTTTCAGTTGTGAAGCACATGTGATGTAAGGGAAAATGAAGTTATAGAATGGAAGTATTTTTAATGCACTGATTCAGATGTGAAATAAACATGTAAAAATAAGCAGTACATAGGAGCTCATGATTAGCTTTTTTTCAAAGCAAAGGGAAATAGATTACTTAGTCTTTTTTCTCATTAATTAACAGCATTAGTTTAAGGTAAGACTTTCTTATGTTTACATTAGTGTGCAAAGCCTGTAGAATTTAGTCTATGGATCCACATTCCAGAATGCCAGGGAAGACAGGATAAGCTGAGAGCTAGAGCTTGAGAGTCTTTGGGGATTGTGTGAATGGGAGATTATCCTGGTGAGAAGTGTCAAAATGCATCTGCCACTGTATTTAATATATTTGCATTTGACTATTCCTATTCTAGTCCAAGAAGGGCTCTTATCTAAACCTTTAAATTGCTTCTGAGGAAATATAGCATAACAAGTGTTCACAAAGGACCAAGTTGCTTTGTGAAGGCTGCCTTGAGTAACCAAACTTGGGGATGTTTTGAGTTAGCCCCAAATGGGAAAGTAAAACACATCTGCAGATAGCATGATTGATTTTAGTTAGTGTGCCAAGAACATGCATCACATCAGGTATGACCAATCATCTGACTACCAATTTATTTACATATTTATAATGTTTAATGTTTGTTTAAATTAGTGATACAGAACCTCATGTACTTGTAATCCAAACAATTTATTTCCTTTCAATTTGAAAACATTTGGGGAATTGCATTTGAGTTATAGCTTCCTGGGGACCCAAACCCTGGAGCTATAAACTGTCTGGGTAGCGGCTGTCTCTCTTCATGAATTGGAAGACTGATCTGTGAGTGAGGCTTGTGTGCTGTCCAGTGCTTTCATGTTTGTGTAGAATATCCTGAAAAACTGCCAGAGTCCAGATCTTGGGAGCTGTTCTGCAAGGAAGAGTTCTTCTAACAATCCTTGCCTGGCCATCAGGCTCATCACCTGTTGTTTGTGAGTAGGGATCTGCTTAGGTATAGCTGGATGAGACAAAAGAAGGATAAATAAGCTGTATAAAGTCTATGTAGCTGTCAAATGATTTTTCTGGCTTTTTTAATTGCATACTGAGGAAAGCAGTTAAGTATACACTTAAATTTTATGTGAATAACCCTGTTCAAGTCAGTTGAACTGCTTACATAGTTCAGGTCAGCATATGCTTATGGCTTTTTTGGGCACTGAGTTCATTAGTTTGTGCTAACATATTTAGAATGGGATAATGAAAATGCCATGTGTCATTGGTGCAAAATTTTAATGGGGTCTTTCATTACATCAAGTATTCACCAAAATATTAAATAAAAGGAAACTGGTAACTAAGCAGTGTGATATTCAAGAGTTCAATCTACAGACATTTCTCTGTGCTAATTATGAAGTATTGACATAAATGAATGAAAGTACTTGTTAAAAGTGCCTTTTGCTGTATGTAACAGTTATGTGTTCACAAGATGATTCATAGCATTCAGCAATTTATGATGAGTTTCCCTGCCATTACTGAAGATTACTAAGTATCTTGTGTATTTGCACTCTACTGGGTTACTGCAAATTAGATTTGATAGAAAATTGTTCTCCCTTCCACTATCAGCTGAAAATCAAGCCTGTACCAGAAATTGACTATTCAGTATTGTTGTACTGTACAATAAAGTGAAATTTATCTTCTAAAACAAAATACAAATGCTTAATCATCTTATCTATGGAGACAGCAGCAGTGTTGGTGAGGAAAAACTACTTGGTTTTGAAAGTGATGTACATTCTAACTTAGAAAACAGAGCAGACCTCATATATTTGAAAGTTGAATTCATAGTGAGAAATCTAAAATGGAAATCTAATTACATAAGAACCCATTTTGAAACAGCAAGTCCCGTTTGCATAAAATACCACTTATTTGTTGCAGGATGTATTTGTAAGTATTTTTTCCTATGAAAGGTGCTACAGATGCTTTGTGTTGGCAGAAAATTCTGATTGCTTCTTGAACTGGAAGTTGTGGCTGGCTGTATGTTCTGTTGTAAGATAACTGTGTTTAAGCACTTGTACAACTGCTTATTTTATACTATCCTGAAGATGGGTGTGATGTGTTAATTATACCTGCCAGGTGGTCATGCTGTATCAGTGTGTATTATCTGTTAATGACACTGTTTACATAAGAAAAATAAACTTTTTTAATAGTTGTATAGGAGTCTTACAATTTTCAGGTTTTTAGTAAACTCTTATTGGGCCCATGGTTTAGTGTTTGTGTGTGTTTTGTTTTTTTTCTCCCTCCCTTTTAACCTTAACAGGTGCAAACTAGTGCAAGAACAAAAGGGTGGTATGTTGTGTGTGTGTGGTGTTGTGTGTGTTTAAGTGTGGCTGTGAGATCATTTAACTTACATTCTAACTGCTGAGGTGAATATCAGGTTTCCAGTCAAACAGTAGCACACCCTTAATATCAGATGATAAATATGCTTGCAAAGTGAGACTAGTTGCACCACTGCATGATACTTTGTAGACTCTGTAGTTAAAGTGAGCTCTTGGGAAGAAGCAGGAATACATCCTTTTAGCAACAACACTAAGCATATGTAAGGAAGGTGTTCTTCCCACAATGTATGTCCAGTAGAGCTCCAAGTGCATGATCCTACTGTTATCTCTAGGCTGGCTGTTGCAGGCTTGTAAGGACGTGATCCTGAAATTGCATGCTGTAGATGAGATCTCAATCTTGAGTGATGGCCAAGTATGCTCTTGCTCTAAGAATACCCTTGCATGGTGTTAACTGCAGGTGACAGGAGCTGTGTCCAGTCAAAGTTAGAAAACTATGGTGGAGAATATGGAGAATAATCAGTAAAACAAGAATCTGTTATGCCAGTATAAACTATACCCTTGGGTGCAGTTCTGGTACCCTTACAGAAACAAGCAAAAAGCTAGCAGTAGAACTAGAAATCATAGAAAGGTGGCAATGATAATAAAGCATAATTAAATAAGTTAGGAATCTTCAGTGTAGCAAAGAAACAGCTGAAGGTGAGTATGATTTAAAAAAAAAATCTGCAGTCATGACTGTAATGGGATGAATTTACCAAGTGGCATATTCAGAACAAGTAACTGTGTGTGGTTTGTGATGGTGTGAGGTACTTTCTGTTTATTAATTTATTTTTAACATAGTACAGGGTTAATCTGTGAACCACTGTGGGTGCTAAAAGATTGTCTAGGTTCAAAAATCCAATAGAAGAATTCCTGGAAGAGTCTGTAAATGGTTTTCTGTGTAAAAGCACCATCTTTTGCTTAGAGGAACACAAGCCATAGACTGTTGAAAGCAGGGGAGGAAGCTTGAGTTGTAGCTCTGCAGGCTTTCTGATGTTCTTCCCCAGACCTCTGGTCTTGGAGATTTGCTAGAGACAAAATATGGGAGCAGGATGTGTCTTTAGCCTGATTGAATAAAGCCAGTCTTCAGTAAAATGAGGATAAATTATAGTCCTCTGGAGAAAATGTTGGCCTTATGCCAATGCTGATGCAGAACAGAATTATTGGTGAGGAAAAAAGTAAGAAGGATGACTTTTTGCACCTAATAATTTTTTTGGGGAAAAAGGGATTTCTATTAAGACTCAACCAATCTTCATTATACACACCAATAAGTTTGATGCTTTCATGAGGGACTTCATATTCATTCTTTATGTTCTGATGTGTTCTGATGTTCAGGCTTCATTCTGTTCTTTCTCATGGCAGGCAGGCCACTTCATATTCCTTGCAGGCTGTCTTCAGAGGGACTGAATTAAAACTCTAATTGCGAAAATAAAATTTACTCTGTAAAAATCTTATATTTATAATAAAATGCAAAAGATTTTTTTTGAATTGTAAACATGGGAGATAAAATCTCTTTCTCTATAAACCTGGTGAGATTACACCTAGATTCTTTATTATCCAAACGTACATGAGCTAAAGTTGCATTATTTAGAATTGGGCACAGCAAGGTCTTGAAGAAAATAGGCTATTAAGAATAAAGGATAACTTGACTGCTAGGCATGAAAATTGTGTTTAAATATTAAATAGATGTAAAAGTTATGGAGTGGGAATTATTTAGAGTAATCCAACCCAAATGAAATTAAGGAAAAATAATCAAATGCAATTAGGAAGAGAAATGTCTGAGTGGACAGGGCTATGAATATGTCTGTATTTACAGACAGAGGTCTGTTACAGAAACAGAACAGGCAGAATACTATGATCTGTAAAGAGTTAAAGACATGGAGATTGGTGGTATATCCAAAGGTTACCTCTCTCCAAGGAAAATTAGTTGTAGAAAAATAGCTCCCTGGTGACACAGAGTGCCCAGAGCTGCTTCCTGCTTTGAAACTCCCTCTGCAAGAGTCTCTCTGTTGCCTTTGGCTAAAGACTGATGGTGCAGACAAGGAATACCAGCCTGCTCATCGAGAGTGAAACTGACTTTTGTGGATATGCCCATTCCATATGTTAATGGCAGACCTGGCCTTCACTGTCTGCTGTTAGCAGCCACTTGATTCCTGTGGTACTAGAATAGACATCACATACATAGAGACAGTGCTAGCTAAAACATTTTTTTTCATGGTTTTCATAAGGAAGTGGATATTTTCTATATAAGCAATTATAAAGGAAAAGATAAGTTGCAGTTATATAGCCTGTTTGAAACAAGAGATTCAGTCTGCATTCTACCACTCACCCCAATGCTCTGTTGCTTCCCAAGAATGGGAGAAGGATCAGTCCTCTTCCTAGGTTAGTTATTTTGACAATTTCTTTGAATACTTTCTAGAGTTTTGCTATATAATAGGAACAAAACTTACTGTCAGTCTTAAAATGTTCATTTTCTATAATGAGGTATGTCAAAAAAAAGAAATAAAAAAACGAGAAATGCAATATATTGTCATGATTTTTCAAATAGAAATGGGTGTCTACCATCCAAGCACTCTTAAGCATATTTATCCTAATGTTCTCAATAAAGAAAGTGACACTATGGTAGTGTTTTCATTGAATGAAGGTAATTCTTTGGAAACTGTTTTAGTTAGATTTTTCTAATGGAAATTTCTCTGAGAAGATTGAATGCCTGGTGCAGGGTTAAACTTCTGCATATGTACTAAACTTTTTTGCTTCTTTTCTGTTTGAAGAGGATTACTGAAGTTATCCTCTAGTGTTCTCACCTTACAAATAGTTGATTGCAGTTGTTAGTTTTTATCTGTATTATTCTTACTGTTCCCGATAACTTGACTGTGTACTCTGTAATAAAAACAATAATAATTCTGAAGTCAAAATGAAAGTCACATGCTGTCCTTGACTCAAATTTCAGTAATGTGAAGTCTGCTTTGCTCACAGATAGAATTGTAAACTCCTATGGAACCTTATATAAGGTGGAAGCCAGAGTTCAAAACAAAAAACAGTCTATCAGGTCTCTGCTGAGCTAGTGGCCAGGGATAAGCTGGCTTCTGACATCCCTTCCTACAGCCTTTCATTCTCCTGGCTGATGAGTGTGTAGAGAAACTACAATCCTTTCATTCAAGGGGCTGATGTTGCAAATTACTTTTTCTCTTTTTTAGATATACCTTCTCTTATGTTGCCTTTTCATTTCTCTGATTTTTCTTCTCTGCAATTTTACTTTTGTTAATCTCTCAGTTGTCCAAATCTAATATTATTCATTTTCTAAATTGTCCCACATGGATTTTTCCTGAAATTTGTAAATACTCCCCCTCTTTCCTTTTCTCCCCGCACAAATAACTTCTAATTGTAATGAATATTTGACAGTATAGTTACAGGTATAGTTAGAGTCTCAAAGACTACCAGTAATGCCCACCTCTAGTGCTGTGACCAGTTAAAACTTGAGGCCTGATAAATATTCTTCAAGTACTCTTGGGCAGATCGTTTTTGCAGCAGCGATCACTTCTCTTTTTTCAGGCTTCATCACAAGAGATGAACTTGTAGGTAGCGCTATTCAAGGGGAAAGGACTAGGAATAGAGCTATTTCCTTTCTATTTGAACCTTATGAAGGGAACAATACTGGTTAGATGTAATTCTGTGAATTGAAAACTTCTTTTGAAATACTGGGCAGTTCAGGGGAGGGGATCTCCATACCTTGATGTAAAATCAGACATGTTCCACATTTCTCTTCGAATGTCCATTCTTAGCTATGCATTTAGGCTTCAGTTGGCACAAGTTTGAATATCCAGCACAGAGCCTTTGAGTTTTTGCTTGAAGCTATGTGGGGCATCTTGACTAAGGTGAATTAAAAAACTATGGAAATAAGTCTCATTGGACCCGGAAGGGTTGGTGGTTGCTTTGAAGAGTTCTGTGGCACTTGCTACATCTGCCTTCCCGCCACCCTCCATCCCTTGCTCCTAAAGCTGTTAAATCAGGACCAATTTCTTCTGGATTAAGTACGCATCTGTGTTACCAACACCACCTTGTATTTTAAATTGTAATTTTCAAGTTTCAGGTGCAGCATTATCTTAAATAGCCCCCCAAAATATAGCACAAATTTGTTGCAGAGTGGACCTGAAAAGTGATTCCTTTGGAGTGCTGGGAGACAGGGGTGAACTAGTGGTAGTGGTGCTTATAATGAGCTTTGAAACCTTAATTACGTAGCAGCTTCCTTGGAATGACTGCTAGGACCTTGATTCAGCAGAACTTCAAAAGCTCAGAACAGCTTGAAGCTAGATGGGCTACTCTATTTTTTAAATGCTTTGCTGAACTGTCAGTAAAACGTGAGTGGTTAAATAAGTGCTTTGAATGTTATTTTATTTTGATGGTTCAAGCTGGAAGAAAGCTTAGAAATTCTGTTTTGATTTAGTTCTCATTAATTAATTAATGCCTTGAAACATAGTAAGGGCTTATCAAACCTGTGGATAATATGAAACTGAGAAGCTGGAAAATTCTTAGGGAGTTGGAATTAAAATCAAAATTAGCTGAGAGTCTTTGAAGAAGTGGTCTGGTGTAAATAATGAAGGTTAAGAAAGAAAAACGTGTAGCAGTAATCAAATGCATGGATCCAAAATGCATTGATGAAGAGTTAGGTCTTGGTGCCTATGCTGATTGGATCTATCAAAGGAGGAGAAATAAGAGGAATTTTTGAGTATTATGACTTTATTGGGTTATAGGCCTGTGTTTTTTTTGTGTTGGCTTAATTCGTTTACGTGTGCTTGTACAAGATACAAACTGAAAGCAGTTTCATGCATGAGTTGTGTTTCAGTTTTTACTGACAGTTGGAAAGCAAAGGATCGAAACAATTAAGCAGAAAGGGATTTGCACCTGTCTTATAATTGAGCTGTTAATACTTGGTGGCTGGTGTCATTAATTTCTTATTATAATTAATTTTTCTTGTAGTGATGCTGTCTTGATGTGCTGAAAACTGTATTTCTGTCTTAAATGAATTGAACAGTCTCTTGAAGTTGATACATAGCTAAAACATCATGTAGGGCTGTTACAAACTTGTCATTAATGAATTCATTTTAATTTAGTTCAGATTTTGCAGTGTTTCCATAATGTTGTTCTGATAAAAGCTTTAGCAAAAAAAAAAAAAAAAGACTGTGTGCAAGTAGGTCTTGGTCTTCTTTATCCCTTATTGTGTGTTTGCATAATAACGCCTGCTTACAGTCTAATATTAAATCAATAATTTTCTTATGCTGCTGGAGATTTATATGATGTTACACTATACAAATCTTATACTATTGGGATCATGTAGCTTCTAGATTAAGATACTTCCTGCTCTAAAATAGCTTATTGTAGAAAGATACTGAATGGCAGATGAAGTGTAAGGAGTATTGCTTAAGCTGTTACTGTGTGCTGCTTTGCTTTTCTCAAATCATTTTCTGTTTTCTATCATATCGTCTATTTTTTTCTTACATCATTCGGGAAGTTAATTCAAATGCAAATACTCATATATTTTGAAGTTAAATTCCACACTCATGTTTGTAATGTTTTTATTATTTGTACTTCATATAATGCCTACAGACACCCACTGTTTAGACCTAAGTAAGTTGGTTGTCTTCACAGCATTTCTCATTTTTTAAGGTGGGCCTTTTGACTTTCCTCCTTTTTTTGCATACAATTTTCATATTGCATTTTTAATTTTCATTTTCTACATTAATCTTTCTACATATAGTGGGAGGGAATTGTTGGTGGCAGAAGTATGGAAGATAGGGTGAGAATAGTCACCATGTGGAGCATAGAGTTGTTTATTTAGTATTTGATAATGTATATAATGATATACCCAAAACTCTGTTTGGAGGGAGAGCTTGGGGAATTCCTCTAAAAAGAGATACAAAAATAGGAGAGTGTTAGCAGACAGTGATTAATTACTTTATTATAAATGAGGAACTCTCTGTATCTCTTCTTGGTTTGAAATGAGTTTCTGTGTATTGAGAAGGTACAGAGTGGCAGAAGACTTTCATGTCTTACTAAGTTATGAGAATAGGAAATAACTAAATTTACCATGGGGAGTTTACCTAACTAACCACAACCTTTTACTAATGTGTTCGTTTTGTCCTCACATACAGATTCTGAAATAAAATGCCAGTAATTGTGTGTCATTGATGGGAAGCAGAAGGCAATATTTTGGTCATAGTTGGTAGGAGGCAATGCTGACGTTCATATGAATTTTTCCCAATTACAGAATGAGTGCAAAATATTTCATAGAAATTAATTTTTTTGAAATCTCTATCACTATAACTTGGAATTTGGAAATGGTTGTGCTTTCTCACTCTTAATGCTTTTGTTTTAAAAGTGATGCTTTTAATAGGAAATGAGTTACTGAAAACGTCAAATAGTTTCTTCTAATCTCAGTCTTCAGTTAACAGTTGAATAAAGTCCTCAGAATCTTGTTTTTCTTCAAGGCTAGAAAGATCATTTGCCTATTTTCTGAAACCTTTTGCATGCAACAGGACACAATCTGCCTGAGAGTCATTTTGATGTGCTCAGTATCTTGAATTCTGTGCTGTCCTCTTAAGTGTTTTCATCATTATACTTTGTCCACACAGTTAATTGTCCTTATTGAATATTTATGCAGATTAAACTCTTTAAGTCCTAACTGAGGACACTTTCATCCCTTTAGTTGCTTGGGACTTTTTCTGTCTTTTTAGTATTTTCTGCCTGCAGTTCAACGATATATATTTTATGTATTGGTCTCACTAGTGTCATACATGAAAGTTAATTTGCCTGTTTTGCTTTCCTATTAGCTGTTTAGGGATTGTCCATTCCTTTTCTTGCCATGATGTTGTCTGCAAGGCACATGTTAAGTGATTTTTTTTTTCTGTTTTTTTTTTTTCCTGCTGTGATCTAACAGCTTAAGGAAGGAAGCTGCCATCAAATTATCGTCCCCAGTTTCAGACATACAGCTGAATTTCTGTGTCCTTAGAGGAATATGGCCTTGCATTCGCATTGCCCTCTTGCCTCCACTGTGTACTATTATTGTATGCTGCCCAGGATTGGGAGAAATACCAGACTTGATTGGAGATAAATGTGCTTATGTAGGGTTTTGCAGCACTGTCTGCGGAAAGGACCTTCAGACTGAGAAAACAGTAATCTTAAACTGTGTTCTCAAACTCCTTCTTGCATTCTGTATTTCAAGATGAGTAGTCTGTATGTATGCTTCATCATATCTAACAGTGAACATTGCAACAAATTCAATGAACTGGATTTTCATCTTACGTGAGGAGTCAAGGAGCTCTTATAAACTCCCCTGCTCCAAATTTCCCATTTTTTCTTATCTGTTTCTGTCTTTCAGCATGGGGAGGAGACAATGAAATGGCCTGTTCCTATTGGATGTTTCATGCTTTCTGAACAAACTATGTTTGGAGATACTGTCTTATAAGGCATCTTCATGGGTGCACTTCCATGCACTAAACTAAGGTTTAACAGGTTAACCCAGGTTTTACACTCCTTTCTTGAACCTTTCAAAAGCTACTTACAAGTCAAATAGCTCTCTTTTAATGCCATGCTTTATTGAAATGACTCTAAAATTGTAATACCAGCTTAAATCAACAACACCTTGTCTTCTGCAAGTCCTTCGTCACGCTGTTGGTCTTGGTAGATCTTTTTGAAAGTGTAGTCTGTTAGGCTCTAAGCACAGGCAGACTACATGCAGGTGTTAAAGCTCATTCTGTAGTGACAGTTGTCTGGTATGTCCCTCTGTCCTTGTATCAGTAGATGATGGCAATGATAAGTAGGTACCAGAGACTCTTGTCTGGGAATGTCCCTGGAAGTCCTAGCAGAGCTACAAATGAGCTGCAGTTTGTGTTTCTTTTCTTACTGTGTTGCTCACTGAAGTGTTGCTCTTGAAGTGTTGCTCATTGCGTGAATAAAGTTGGAACTACGAATCTGTTTTGGATAACTGACAAATCAGGATTGACACAGAGCTGTTCAGAAAGTGCATGTGTGAAGGAAGTTGTCTGTGTAAAACTTTCCTGTTTGTTACACTTTTGAATGAGGATCGGCTTTGGCATCCACTAAATCTTGGTGTGTGGTGATTTGCCTTAGCAAGTTATGCTCTCAGAAATGGGACTGTTTCTATGAAAATATATCAAAATTTCTATCAGTTTCTATCAAAAATAAACTAGACTAGGGCTGCTCAGCTTCTGAGGGCTCTGTGGCTCGACAGGACTGCTCATGTAATCTGCTTTCCTAAGACCTCCTGTATTGCAGCCCTTTAATGGATGTGGAGATAGCAGCCTCTTACTGCCACTGTTTTGCCTGCAGTCCCTCTGCTGTCACCTTCTGTATTGTTCCTCAGGAAACATCATGTCGATGCATGAGCTGTTGCCACTAATTTAGTTTGTGTGTGGGTCCCTTCCTTATCTACACTGGAGGTGCTGCTTGGTGTAACGGAGGCTGTGTGTAGATTTATCAAAGCAGTAACTGCCTATTCCTAATAATCTTCCTACTTTCCTGGAGGATAGATGGGAATTGAAACTGTGCCATACCTTCAGGAAGTGTGGGGAATCCAGGAAGCATCTAGGATTTGCATGTTCACCATTGCGCTCATATGAACATCACACTTCTAAGGAGAACAGAGTCATAACGTGTAGTATCACAGTACTCGGCATTGCCATGTTCTTGCTCCCCTTGAAGAGTGGAGTCTTGAGAGCCTCAGTTAGTTTTTCTGTGTGTCTGTGTATGTATGGCGGTGATCACCAGCTCTTGAGGAAGTGTTAGAAGCTGGAAAATCAAGATATAGCTGGAATACTGGGACTGCCTTATCTATCCTTCTGGGGTATCGTGTTGGTTTACTTAGCAAACCGATTTTTGGCCTGGCCAAGAAATTAAGTATGGCTTGGAATGGTAACAGTTTGACAGTATTGTTACAGCAGAGTGGGTCTGCTACTGATACGTGTGCAGAAGGTCTGGTCACATTGAAAGGAGGAGCTGCCATTGCCTTTTTTGACAACTAGAAAAGGCTGTGTAGCATGTTCATCTATAGATAAACTCTTTCTACAGGACGGGATAGTGGGAAAGCATGATAAGGAACTGTGGAATATGCATGATCGACTCCCAAAATATTAAATCTCCTTCAAAATAAAAGATGCAAACTGGAATTGAGATATGCTACCTTAACTTTTTGAGGGTCAAGTGGGTAGCATACTAAAACTTGAAGTTAAACATGGTGGTAGCTCAGGCCTTGTTGTGACTGCGTTGTGTGTGGTGTATCTACAGACTATCTGAGCCTCTGGAAACGGAAAACTTAGATAATGCACTCCTTTGCTAGACTGTTTTCATAATACAAGTAAAAGATGCTGAGAACCATTTGGAGAGAGTCAATATGTTGCTTCAGGTAAAATTCTGTAGACAGAGTTCTCATTTTAAAAACATTTTGATATTTCGATATTTTTCTGGGAAAAATTTAAGAGTTTGATTCCGAGTGAAGCTTTTAAGCTTCACTTGGAGAGGAATCAGACTGTTGTATACGTCATGAAAGATATGGGAACAATGCAGATCTAGACTGCTATTCCCACTAGGTTTTCTCTTTTTGTGTTCCCTGGTACATTCTAAAAATATTTTCAATATCATAACAACTGCATTGTTACGGAGAATGGCATGTCTTTGTTTTGTTTTCAACTGTGTTGTCCTTGCATTACATTTTGTTCCATACTCTCTCTTCAGTTGGGATGTGAAGTCATTTTCTTTTGTTAATTGTAGACCTAATTGCCCTGACCCCAAAACTGTATTGTGCACTACTTGGAAGAAGCTGAATCTTTTGTTCTGCCTTGAGTAACTCAACCTATATGTTGGCAATATGAAGTAATTTGATTGTGAAAGTGTCTTTGATTGGCAGAGAGGGGCAGTGGGTAGTGTGAAAATAAAGGGAGATGAGCTGCTGGAAAGCAGCTCTGCAGAGAGGGATTTTGGAGTCCTGGTTGGCAACAAGTTAACCATGAGGCAGCAATGTGCCCTTGTGGCCAAGAAGGCCAGTGGGATCCCGGCCTGCATCAGGAGGAGCGTTGCCAGCAGGTCAAGGGAGGGGATCCTGCCCCACTGCTCAGCTCTGCTGAGGCTGCACCTGGGGTATTGGGTGCAGGTCTGGGCTCCCCAGGACAAGAAGGATGTGGAGCTTCTAGAGCAGGTTCATTGTAGAGCCACAAAGATGTCTAACGGACTGGAGCATCTGTCGTATGAGGAAGGACTAAGCGAGCTGGGCCTGTTTAGTCTGGAGAAAAAAAGACTGAGAGGAGATTTGATCAACACGTTCAAGTACCTGAGGGGTGACTGTAGGGA